CGGGGCGCGCCGGGCGGGCGGCGGCGGCGGCGGGCGCAGGGCAGGGCATGACCGACGCGCCCTCTGCTGCGCTTATGTGAGAGAAAGCGGCGAGGGAGGGAGCGTGCCGGGCCGGGCGGCCGCCTCCCCGCCACTCTCGCTCGGAAGCGCGCCCCCTCGCCTCCCCGGAGCCCCACCTCCCTCCTTCTTCTTTCTTTCTCCTCCCCTCCCCAAGAGGGGCGGCCCGGCGCGCAAGTTCAGGCTCGGGACGGGGGATCCGGACCCGGTTCTCGGGGCGCCGCGTTCGCCCTGGCAAGGCTGGCGCGGAGGGCAAGTAGCTACCGCGGATGGGAAGGAGGGAGGCGACCCTTTGTCCTTGGCAGTTCTAGGGCTCCCATCCTCCTTCCGATGTGCCTGGCCCTCAGCGTCCAGCACAAGTCTGGAAACAGCTGACTACACTTTTGAAGAGAAAACCAGTGCTCTGTGGGAGACCTTCACGGGCCTCGGAATGAGGACACCCCCACCTTCCCTCTTGGGCTTAACTTTAAGTTGCTTGGTGAAGCAAGAACTACAAGGCTTCTCAAAATGCAGTGCATCCTGGTGGGATAGCTGCTAATGGGAAACTCTTTGGAAACCCAGACCGTGGAAAGAAAGGTCAGAATCTTACTAGATAGAAGAGACAGGGCCGTCAATTTCTGCAGGAAGTTGGTTTTATTAGAGAAAGGGCATGATAAAGAAGAACACGTGTTAGCATATTCTAAAAAGGACTTCACATCTACAGAGACGTGGCTGCGTTTCTTACCTGGAAAGGACCATCATGCTGATGGCGCTGGCTCTCCACGGGCGGGTTGTGGAAATCAGGCTGAGGAACTGCAGGAGCTCCCAGAACGTGAAAATCACATTGTTACTCCAAGCCGCTTTACATGCATTGATCTCATAAGTACATCCTTCTTAGAGAAGAGAGTTCTTAGCTGATTCAAATCTTTAGATTTAGACCTCTTAAAAGCTTCCGTTACCTGAAGACTTAAATACTACACCTACAAAGGAAGAGATCCTTCCTCTTGGTTTCCTCTACATTCCATTTTCCGAAGATTTCCATCCATTAATCTATTGATCTAGACTTCCATATTTTTATATAGCAAATTTAATCTACTTTACACATGTAACTCCCTCAAATATTTTGAATACTGTATATCCGTCACGTGCTACCTCTAACTTTCCTCCGTTTTTCCGCATATGTCAGAGCAATTGGCCTCATCAGTCATGCTATACATCAGTTTATGTTGAGAAAGTCTGCTGCTCAGAAGATGGTTGGGTACTTCAGGTGTCCCAGCAAGCGAGCAGAAAGGGTATTCCTTGCTCAGAGAGCATGCTTCTGTTTACAAACCCTTGATCAAGTTTGTTTTATGGTAGCCAGAAAATGGTATTGGCTCGAACCACACGGGCTCTTTTAAGAAGAATGTTGTAAGTTCAAGGTCAGCCTACACTACATCGTGAGACTTTGCCTCAAATAAATAAATAATTGAGTGTTGAAAAGAGGACTCATTGTCTTGAGTGACTACATTTTACCAATTTTTTTTTTCTATGTCATTTTTTCTTCCCCAGCTCGTATTTTAGCAATACCCAGCCTGGCAAGCAGAGCACCCTATGACAGAAACCAATGTTGGCCCCAAGTTGAAATAATCATCTCAAGTAGGAGCTGACATCCCCCCCCCACACTACACACACACACGCACACACACACACACACACACAATTACAAGAACAGTTATACCATAATAATCAAGCCTGAAAATCATCGCCTGATCTCACCACATGGGACCAGTTATCTCATGGGGATAAAATTGGCTCCAATCGTAAAGATTCACCCAGAAGTAAGACACCAGGACTGAGATAACCAACATGACCTCAGCCCAACACATATAAAGCTGGTCTCTTTTCATAGTTTAGAAGTCTTCATGAGCTCAGTTAGATCAGTGTCTCTTTAAGTCCCTTATGCTGACCACTCTTTATTGTTTTCTCTTTCCTTCATTAGACCAGCTTGATCCTTACTCCTCTCATTTTCTCTTAATGTCCACTTAAAGACTTTTCTGGAAATTCATACTGATTGCTTCAGTTTTCATTTCTATTAGCACTGAAGGATCTGTGCTAGGTGGTGACAGATTCTGAAGAACCAGACCAGTGGTCAGCCAGACCACAGTTGGAGTGAAACTGCTTGGCCATGCATTCCTCCCTGCCATGATTCTTCTGCTACATAATCCTACAACTCTGTGGTACCCTGAAGGCAGGTCTTAGAACTCTGGTGTTTCTATTCTTCTATTTCTTCCCAGTGTGGTCACACAGAACAAACCCCTTTCCTCGTCTCTGCATTTGAATTCTCCATGAGTCAGGTAGCAGATCTGGGATCTTCAGTCCTGCCCCTAGCCA